CAATCCGAGATGCCCCGAGTGAAGTTTCATGCAAATGTTTCGTACGGAAAAAAAAATCGCCCCCCGACGCACACCATCGCGTCTGCGTTTAACTCACACAGAACCGACGCGACAACAAATCGCGTCGGGCTGCGTCGTACGACGCTGTCTGATTTGGCCTTTAGCCCTCTTTCGCCAAAACAACATCCGTTCATTACAATTTGTTTTGTTTTTTTAACCTATTTAATTTCAGTGCGTAGAGTTTTTATCACTCAATCTTAATCTCTCCGCTGCATAGTGTAGCCCAGTCAAAAAAGCTTGACCGTACCACTTTACTTAGAGGTGAATGATAGGCACATAATCATTATTTGTAAAATTATAATAACACATTTTTTGGTCTGTCACGATATTTGATATATATTTAATGGTAACATCAATAAAAACACTGTAAATACAAATTGGAAGTCATGGAGACCATCTTAGCCAAGACGCTTGACCGCCTTTACCTACATGTATAATGGTCGAGTCCATCAAGACGGCTAAATCACGCTGCTGGTTTCGAAAAAAACTGGACATTTTAAACTGCTCATAACAAAAAAACTAAACTCTTAATACTAACTATGTTTACATATTACAAATCAGAAAAGACTTCTCTTCTCTTTCATACAACAATGGTGAATTTTAAGCAGGTATTAGCTGAGAAACTGCTGTTTTTCTATCAACCTTACACCAGCACGGGCTTTTCGGGAATGTCTAACTGCCGCCTATTCTTTACCATTAGTCGAAGTGTGTCAGATCCTGTCAAAGTCTCTAAAGAAATGGGCGTTCCGACGAGACTTCTCATCCAATCATATTGATTTTTAGCTTAACAGACAGATTATTTAGTCTATTTTTACGTACCGAAACAGCCGTTAAAATCGGCCGACTCGTTCAGAAGTGAGAGTGTTGTAAACACGATCGCAAAATTCTGTAAACAGATAGGAGTTAATACACTGGGCAATCGCCAACTGACTTCGCTTAAAAAAAATTCCGACGACACCTCATTGATTTTAAAATTAAAAATAACATGACATTATAGCTGAATAAATAAGGAACACGTTACAAAAACAGCCAAAAAAATCGGCCTAATATTAACGAAGATATGTTTAAAAAACTGCTCAAAAAGGGCTGATTTTCAGCGATTTCGCACCGTTTGGTGAATTCGGGCCGGATTTTTGGAACACAAAACAAATTGTAATGCCTTAATGGCTTTTTACTACGACGAACCAAAATCGACTGAATCTATTATGGAGTTTTGAATATCTTCATCACAAATTGTGTTTTTAGAAACATTCGCTCAAACATATCAAACTAGGCCTACTTATAGTTTTAACGGTTGAAATTAAACTTCAGATATTTAATTGTTTTTATTTTATGTATTTATTTTTTGGTGTGGTTGTATTGGGAACAATGTAGTTGTCATCGCTTGCCACGTGATGTACAATCTGTAGCAAATCAGATTGTTTAAACAGTTGATGCTTGAAAAAAATATTCTTGTAGTTTGTTTCCAATGAGACGTTTAAGCCGTCGGTCCCGTGTGCATTTATGGCCCATGTGCACGTTAAAGAACGCAGTACACTCTTCGAAAAAAGAGTAGGGGATTGTCTCCCGGTGTACTGCGCAATCACCACCAAAAGGACCCCACTGGAAATAAGTCTTTTTTTAGACTTTAATGGGCTATCTTTGGTGTTTACTCCTAATAAATCCAGAAAAAATACCAGACTTTTGATGTGTAATAATATTATTTTAAGGAAGTAAGTAAGGGTTATATATGATCTATGTCTGCAATAGGTTACATAATTTAATAAAAAAAGAAATAGTAATTCTATAAAGAGCAAATGTAATAAACCTTTTAACAACAACAAACATTCTTGTAAAGTATTTTATATTGGCCAATGGTAACTTACATTCCACAAAAGCATTCTTTTTCTCCGCTGATGACCTGGACTTTACAAGTAAGGGTAGGCCTACATCTTCGCCATCGTTCAATCTTGCATTTGTGAACATATAAATGGACAGGATAGATAGGCCCAGAATAAGCAATATCAGCAACTTCGTTCTCTGCAATCTAAGTTTAAAATATTTTTTACTGTTGTTAATACAGTATTGTAAATCTAGAGAAATTTCGAGACTAATGATAAACAAAAGCATCTACTCTGCAAATGAACCAAGATTAAAGTTGCCGCAGCGCGTAAAGAACGTTTGCGCGATGCCTTTGAAGTCCCATGTGTTCCCCGCCATCAAATTTTCAGCAGGCATAGTTGACCAAAAAATTGAACATGACGAAATGGAGAGCACCTCTCAATGCGCACTACATACTGTCAATCACTATGGCTGCGCAATCTTTTCTATTTTGAAGCTGATACATTTATCTCTCATAAAATATCAAACATATTAATATTTTCCTCCAAGAAAAGTTTCGAATTTAATGAAACGTTTACATGACCTATAAAAGTATAGTATATTTTAACCTCAATTTTCATAAATTGGCCAAAATTCGCCAATTCTAATTTTAACAGATATTAATTAATAAATGATTAAATGATTAAGGATTATAATAAACTAAGTCATTTTAGGGTTAACGAGGGTTAACTATTCGAAAAATGAATCCAAAATCTGAGTATTTTTCAGTTTTACGCTGACTTAGCTTTATAGTCGAACAGAAGTAATTTTAACATAAATATTTTACGGAATTCGTTCCTGAAATATACAAATAATAACATACCAAAAGCCCGAAAAAATCTAATCAGGGGAACATTGTTCATTATAAAGATATTTAATGGGTTAAAATCGTTTTATTGCACAACTGCTCTGCTGGAAGCGTATAAATGCATGTCGTTGCCAAGTTGTTACTAACGAAAAATTGTGAATTATAGGGTAATACGCCCGCGCGCGATCCAAAAGCGGGGAACACATAGGTTTGTCGCGTCAAAGGGATCTGTTGCCGAGTGATCTCCTTCTCAATAATATAGTCCAGTCCGAAATGTAGCAATATCAGAGGTTGCATTTTTTTTTACTATATTTTTTAAAAATTGGATATGATGTAGAGTAGACATAGATAAATCAAAAAAGTATGTGCAACATTTTTTTTTCATACGTAAGGGGGGTTGCCAGCAGTTTCAAAATGGCCGCCATTTTTTCCT